TTAAAAAAAAAAAAAAAAAAAAGGATTAAGGGAAACTCTGTTGAGAATGAGTGTGTGTCCGTCGCAAGAATCTTTCTGGGCCCTTCCAAATCATGTCTTTGTTACATGGTTCAGTAATTCTGTTCAAATACAAAATACTCTAGAGAATTGCTGTTGACTCAAGTTAATCTTTGCTTCACTTGAGAATTGGGGCTAATTTAATTGATGCTCTGATGTTTTTGCAGCCCTTCTGTTACAATGGATGACCTGAAGAACCTTTTCACAGAGGCTGGATGTTCAGTGAAGGCTTTTAAATTCTTTCAGTAAGTCCTTGCTTTCAAGAAACACATTAATATTATTTAACTTGTTTTGTAAATTAAGTGTTCTGGTGGAAGGAGGAAATTTGGAAACAAAATTAGTTCTAAATACTTTTTATGCTATTTTCAGGAAAGATCGCAAAATGGCACTCATTCAGTTAGGATCTGTGGAAGAAGCAATCCAGGCCCTCATTGAACTTCATAATCATGATCTTGGAGAAAATCACCACCTCAGAGTTTCCTTCTCAAAATCTACAATCTGACTTTTCTGTGAAATTTTCTCCTAAACTGGACCATAATGTCAGTAAAACCTTCAGACATAGACTGAAGCTGCTGAAGACCAACTCTGCCTCTTTCACAAAAATAACTGAGTTTGATATCAAGTATATTAAAAACATGGGATATTCTTTTTCTTTTCTGTTTCCCCCTGCCAGTATATAATCCAAAGTTTGTTTTCCTTTCTACCGTGGTTTCTATGAAAGTATACCTGTAGAAAAAAATGTGTTTTCAGTAATTCAATTCCCCACATTAAAATCCATTTTAAGAGGACAGACTTTATTTTAGTTTGGGTCAGATCAGCCTTGTACGACATTTCTAAACTCCTTTGTACTTTGAGAGATTTAAGCATATGGATTTTTAAATTACTTGATGTAAGTAATTTAAATCACAACCAGGTTTTTAACTTTAAGATTCAAAAGTCTGACCCCTGTAGGAAATTATGTTCACTTTTAAATTATGTCAGATATTTGCCATGCATTGATGGTTGTTAGACATAAACACGAGTTGTATTGCAAGCAGATTTATAAGCATGCCTGTTTTGTTTCTGTGATTTCCTTTTTAACTCTTTGACACTCCTTTGAATAATGCATTCTCTTTTTAAGACTATTTGGAACAATGAAGTGTCTCAGCTGTGCCCAGGGAAATTTAAGTCAGATCCAACTAAGATATATTAAGATGTCAGAATAACTAATAATTTTATTAGAAAAATTATGTCTTAAATCTCAAAATGACACTTTTTGTTGAGTAATATAAATATAATATTGGGAAATTTTAAAAAAGTAATCCTACTTATAAACTACTTTTTTATAATTGTTTTCAGAAAAAAGTTTACAGTCTTATGGAAAATATTCAGGTCTATCATATGGTTTGACAGATTTTTTAAAAGTTATTTTTGGTAAGGTCTTCTTTTAGAAAAAAAATCTCAAGGGTTTTTTGTACCACTATAATCTCTAATACTTATTCAGAATTACTGTGTACTTAATTTCTTATTATGTGCCTTATTATGTGCTTAAGATGTAATAGGTTAGAGTTTTATCTAAATATCTTGAAAGCTATATTGTGGGCTTGGTGAGCATTTTGTTTTCTCTTTCTTTTGGTAAGGATTTAAAAAGGGTTTTTCATTGCAATTTTAAATGGTTTTCAATAAGTAATAGTTTTTATTCCAATTTTTGGTGCTTTGGTACAGAGATGGGGTAGGGAAGGGTGAATAGTTTTCAGAATACTCAGTGCACACTTGTAGGCCTCTACGTTGTGACTGGTAGCAGTTGTTGCCAGTTATCACATACCAGTTTGGGGCTGTAGAATGCAATGTTTCTGGTTTTTGTCTAATCTTTATTGCCCATCAGAATTTGTCTCAGGATTACTTGGTTCTTCTCAGTACTCAAGTGAGAACTTGGCTTTTCTTTGTTAACATAATTTACTAAGTGCTCACATATTAGAGTATGAGAAGGTGGGTTATTTTTTATACTCTGTTCCTTTTTCTCTTTTTGGTTGAATGTAAGAGTGCATTTTAATGTTGCTTCAGTGATTGTATATTGTAAAATTATTTCTTTTTAATAAGAAACTGCTTTTGTTAATTATTCCTTCAGTGCTTGATTAGATTTTTTTTAAAGCAGGATTTATCAAAAGGATCAACTTTATCCACCTGTTTTACACTTTTTGTATTTTTTAAGTGGCTCATCTCAACTTTAAAAAGAATATCTCAGTCTTTCTGCTGTATTCTAACCATTAATTTGAACATAGGGAGGTTTTTTAATAAAAAAATTGCAAAAAAGATTAGAGATTGAAAGACATAAAATCAAAATTCACTCAACACCAAGTAACAGTTAGTTGGTAGAATAGGAAAGATGACAATAAGTTGAGACCTTTCAAATGATCAGTTTAGTATTGGCTGAATACATAGGTATAATCATTTACCTAATTGGGTTTTTTTTTCCTTCCGCTTTGAAATATACTTTTACCTACACGATGAGTAGGGAAAGGGGAAAAAAATTGAGACCTCCCTAAATTTGCTGTTTTTTTCTTCTACACAGGCACTGTTAATAATTTTCAGTGGCATGTTAAATTGGATTACTTCATTTGCTTTAAGAATTACTGTGTAATTTATTAATTCATGATTCTTATAACATCCAGCATAAGTGTAGCAAAAGTTACTGATATCAGAAGGTAAATCATAATAGTGTTGAATGTAATTTTGAAGTAGGAGATGGCCTTTAAGACTGAGAGAGAACATTTGAATCCTTTTCAGGGATTTGTGTAGATAAGTGTGTGTGTGTCTGTTTGCGCTTGTGTGTGTATATAGATCTGTATATACATACATGCGTCCTTCTAATGTATATACATATGCACATTACATACATTTTAATTTATTGACAAAGAATAACCAAATTAAAATTTGGAAAAGTGGGATATTCTTGTTTTTAAAGAGCATGTTTGAAGCCATCAGATTGTGTTTAAAATTAGCTGTAGCACATGGATATTGTCCATTTTGAGCTCTTGGCTGTTTGAATTATAGAAGTCTACAGTATTTGTGTTGGCATAGTTTTTGTAAAAAGATTTAAACATATCAGGGTGGTGGAAAAACTAGATCTGTGTATTTTTATTTTGGCATGCATTTACTCAATATCTGCTACACGGTTTATTTTTGCTGTTGATCTGCTACCGTATCCTATTTTTAAGTTTATTTACTTTATTTTAAGGAATATTGATGTATCATTTTTGAGGTATCTTGACTTTTACACAAAGTATACATGCAGGACTTTTAAAAATAGCAGTACACATTTAACAGTAGCAATCTATGCCAAAATGTTTTAAGATTTGAATAACTTAGATAGTAGTAAAATGTGTTTTATATAAGATACAAAGTAGCAAAATTTTGTAATCCCTTAATTGATAATTTATTTACTGGAGAGTATCAGAATTACCCAGTAGTTCCTACAGAATGCCGTAAATTACTTAAGCCTAAATATTATCAGTTAATTGTAACAATGTTTGGACTTGGTTTTTAGAGCCACATTTCTGCCTGCCTGATTGCTTAAGAGAGCAAGGCTTTCTTTGGCTCCACCTACTGTGCTGATCCTAGGTTCTGCTTCAGTGAAGAATTAGCTCTTATTGTCAAAGACTCCTTGTTATCAGATCACTATATTTATATTTTAATATGTTGTCATGAAGTTTCTATTAAATATTTTTGGACAAAAAAGTGACAAACTTGAAGTATGTGTCCTTTTTCTGCCCCAACAAATCATTAACTACCTTGTTTGCCAAACTGTCAGCCTTTAAAAAAATCTAATGTGTACTGCTATTTTTAAGCCAAAAAGAGAAAGCAGCTATGTGTGATGCATTTTTCTTAGCCTTTTCTTTGTCTCAATCTGTTATTAATGAGAAAACTGCCAGACCTAAAATATCCTACTTTTGTGCTAAAACAATTTAGATTGCACAAAATTTTGAAGTATAACTTAGCTGTCTTTCAAAAGAATTTTGTTATCTACAAGACTATTACAGTCTTTTTTCAGAGCAACTTCTAACAGCTACTAGTGAATGGTTTAAAAAGTAGGAGATTACTAAAATCCTAATTTGGGGGGTTTTATAAAAAGAAAAACAAAACAGGACCAAAGTCTATGTGCCTTCTTCAGTAGTCTTTATTGACCTTTTCTTCCTATTTGAGACTAAGGTAGTATCAGTATTCTGGTTTTCAGGAAATATGTACTATGAAGTTTTGAGAGAATATTATCCCACAAGCTAGTCATGCAAGCAAATAATAGTAACTCTGTAAATGCATTCTCAGTTACACTTTTGCCTTCATCACGTAGTATTCATTATAGAGCTTGTGCTCATTCAAGAACAGAGCTGCTCTAAATCTCTTTGGTAGTCACCTTAGTTTTTGCAATCTGAGGTAAAGTTCCAGAGAACAGGGATACTTGTCTGGTCCAGTGACCTTGGTGATAATAGTGATGAGTGGAAGCTGCTTAAGGCAAGCTTAACACTGTCAACAGATTTTTGTTGTTACTTTTCACTTGTTGAATTTATATCGTAGTTGTAATAACAGATATTTAAATAGCTATTTTTTTGGTGTCATTTAAAAGAGTCATACTCTGTCCTTCCCCCCCCCCCCCCCACACCTTCCTTCTCTCTTGCCCCCCATTTTTTTTCCCCCCCCCCCCCGCCATTTCCATTCATTGTTACCCAGATCTTTTAAAAATTCATCCCACATAGAAAGTACTAATTGTAAAGATTGTTGACCAGGAAAAGTTTTACATCAAAATGTCACCTCATTGCTCTGACCAAAGACTGACTGTTCTGATTTTAACTCCTCTGTCAAGCATTTTCCCCAAGCTCCTTTCTGAAAGACCCAATGCAAAGCGGCCTTTACTTTCTATTTCCTATTGGTGAATAGACTACTTAGAGAAATGGGAGTTTAAGCATGAACAGAATGGACTAGGATGACAAGAGTTTGATGGGCATTTTCAGTACTGTATTCAGAAAAAATAAATAGCACAGCTAGGAGCCTCTGACATTGTCTTGTGTTTTACGTGGTCTGTTCATAAAATTCCCTTTTTCAGTTTGTAAGAATGTTTATCTAACAGAAGAAAATGCTGTAAATATTTGTAACAACTTTTTTTTAACCAGGCCAAAAAAGAAAAAGGTTTTTGGGAACAAGTTAGCATATAAAGTGGTTTTATATAAAACATCAATTGTCTTGTATATTTTGATAAGCAGCAGTACCAGCTTTCATTTGTAATATGGCTTGTGGCATTGGAAGAAAAGGATTCTGTGATCGTTGAAGTGAATTATATTATAAATGCAAAGAGAAGATAAAATATTAAAAGCATATTTTCTAAATGCGTAGTGCATGGTTAATTCAAGCTTCTGTACTCTATAGTCCATTTCCTTCAGTTTGTATATTTGCTATTACTTGATATCGCTAATCTCTTTTCCTAACAATATAGCATTGTAGCATGCCTTTTAATAAATGTCATAACATCTGTAGTCTCTTAAATTTTTCTGTGTTCTTGTATGTACTTTGGGTTTCCCTTGTCTTACCTGTAATTCTAATGATGTCGTATTTTCTTTTTTTCCATAGTTATCCTTCTCGGCTTGTCATAAAGAGTATCAACACATAGTCAAGCAACTTTAAAAACAGAAAAAAAATTAACTGCTGCTCTTTTAATTTAGAGAATTCTTATTTTGAGGAGCAAAGTTCTCTCTCTCTCTCCCTCCCGTCCCCCTCCCTCTCCCTCTCTCCCTTCCTTCCTTCTGTGGTACCAGGGTTTGAATTCAGGACCTTGTACTTGCCGTGTAGGTCCATTGTCACTGAGCTACATCCCCAGTCCACGAAGCACCTTTCTAATCTTTTTATAGTGTACTTTTTTGGTCATTCACCTTTTGGTTATAAGTACATGTTTGGGGCAGGGGATTTAGCTCAGTGGTACCATGCCTGCCCCGCAAGAGCAAGGTCCTGAGTTCAGTCTCTGGTACCAAAAATTAAAATAAGTACATGTTAGTATGCTTGCTTGCTTAAGTGCTTTCCTCTTCTTCCCCCTTTTCCCCTCCCTCCCTCTCCTCCCTCCTCTCCTCCTTTTTCCCTGTCAGCCTCTCTCCCCGGTGTATATACCATGCCAAATTAGAGTTGCAACACTATCTCCGATTTGTTTCAATTGTTGGCTTCTCTATAGCATCAGTATACACACACTTGGAGACATGAAGTGGCATCTCAAACTGAGCTTTACTCTATTTAGTTAAAGTTAACATAATTACCAACTTCTTCCTATTGCTTTTCCCCATAGAAGTGTTTTACTTCTTGGTTCTTTAAAGAATTGCTAGATTGCAGGAGTCTAAGCAGCTTGTGTGCTTTTTTTCTCCTTTTTTTCTTTCTCTTATTTTCCCCTTCTCTCTCCTCCAGCCCCTTTTCTCCTTCCCCTTTCGTTCCCCCCTCTCCTCTCTCTGTCTTCTCTTTTCTTGTCTTTCTTGTCACTGGTTAGGTAGCCAAGGCTGGCCTTGAGCTCCGGGTCCTCCAGCTTCACTCAGCCTCCCAAGTGGTGGAGTCACAGGCATGTTTATTTTTAATAGAACAAATAGGTAATCATTCATTACTAGTCTTTGCTGGCTTACATATAAAATCTCAATTCCATAAATATCATGAAATAAATAACATACTTTTTTTTTTTTTTTTTGAAAGACAAGGTCTCACTAAGTTACCCAGGCTGAGTTTGAACCTACAGTCTTTCTATCTCAGCATCCCAGAGTATTGGGATTACAGGTGTGCAGCACCATGCCCAGCTACTAGTCCTTATTTCAATTGTAAGAGGTGTTACTTGAAAAAGATAAAATCCATATGGCCAATGGAAGCTTTTAAAATTTGATTAACTGAAGTATTTGTTTACACAGCAGAGGGTTTGTAACATCACTAAGAGTCACGTACCTTTGAGCATAAAGGGACCTAAGAGATGATCTTGCTCCATTTTAAATTGGTTCCGGAGTTTACACCAGAACCCAAATGTCTGACTTTATCCACTGCTGTGTTTCTTCGTATCCAGCTGTCACAGTTCCATACTACTGAGTGCTACTGTTGTTTTGATTTAAAGATCTCTGTGACATGAGGCTACTTAGGTATTCCAAAAACTACCAAAATTAGCATACAGGCATTGAGTACATGATGGGAGTCCTTTTTTTTTTTTTTTTTAAAAACCGGTGATGGAGCTCAGGACCTTGGACTTGCGAGGCAGGTGTGGTGCCACTGAGCTAAATCCCCAGCCTGGGAGTACTTCTACTGAAGGGTGAAATGCTTGTCTACTTCTACAGAATTTGAATTGATAATGTCTCATTTCATAAATTTAAGAAAAATTTAAAAAATATTACTTCTCGCAGTTCTAGAAATCCAAGATGAAAGTGTGAGTAGTGTGGATTTCTTCCAGTGCCTCCTAGGTTTATAGATCTCTTACTGTTTTCCGTATACCTTCTGGTGGTCTCTGCTCTGTTTGTGCCTGTGACCTAACCTCTTCTTAAAAACAAGTCATAATGGCGTTAGGACCCACTCACATGAGCAATTTTTACCTGAATTACCTCCCTGAAGACCCTGTCTCCAGTTCAAATTCTGAGTTATTGGAGGATAGACCAACCTATGAATTGGGATGAGGAGGGCACACAGTTCAGCCCATGCTCCTGCTTTAGTACAAGTTACTCATTCAGTTCACCAAATACTGATGGTGCCAGCAGTGGAGCCAGGTCCTGGGAGAGTTAAGGGCGACTTCCCCTTAAGGACTGTGATGTACTGGAAATGTCGGCCTACATCCATAAATCAAGTAACAACTTTGGGCCTAGGAAA